GGTTTTATTTTATTTTTATTTATTGTTTTGAGAGAGGAGGTACTTGAGTAATATTACTTTTTCATGAGACTGATTCACAGGGAAAAATAGAAGGTAAGTGATTTGAAGGGATCATTAGTACTGCAAAATCCTTGAGGAAAGAGGATTTAGAGTTTAGCTGAAAGAATTGCTCTTTGATTAATCAGAGGAAGGAGGAGAAGTGTGCACATGTAAGTTTGTGGTTGGGAAGCAGGGGGAGTTTCTGCCTCATGGCTCTATTCTCTGTAAATTAAAAATAGGGTGACTTTCGGGGAGCAAGTAGGAAGGTGAGTAGATTTGCAGTTTGAGAAGTGTAAAGAAGTTTGGAAAAGTATTTGCAGAGAGGAATGTGAGACTGACCTGGAATTCACTTGTTAGTGTTACGGGCCCAAAATGCTCTGGTGAATTGAATATATTGTTGGGGGTCATATGAGAAGGACCTTTGTTCTGGACTCAGACTAGCAGTGTGTAGTTTGGCTTCTTTAACACACTTACCGTGGCTAAATTCCTGATCTCGAGAGGCACATAGGTCATACATGAAATCACTTTCGCTGTAAATAAGTAACCACAACTGGTTCTGGGAGTAGCTCAGAGAGTTGGAGTCATAAATGAGATCTGCACCTGGTGTGGGCAAGGTGAGTGACAAAGAGGACCATTTGCCAACAATGACATATCTCGACAACAGAGTGTTCTTCAAATACAGCCTATGTGTAAAATTAGAAGAAACATCCTCATACCTGAGTTATTTGTCTAAGTCATAGAATTAAAAACCAAAGAACCACCAAAGTATGAGATTATCAGAAGTGGCTAGATGTGGATGTTATTTTGCCTAATATAGATTTTAAATTCCTAGGGAAAATTAGTAAGAAAGTGTGAATGAATCAACAGGAGTAGGTCTACTATTTATATCTACTCTTTGAAAGTAATTCAAAGCAATTGTCACAGAGAGGATTAGCTAGTCTCTTATTCTTGTGTGTATAATCATGTAATCTTGTTCTTAATAATATTTATACTAATCTTGTGTATTGGAAGGGATATCATTCCTTTGAGAGTAATTATAGTTACTTTATCAAAATAAAGTGACACCCAGCTCAAACTATTAGGCAACAGTAAAAGAGATGAACGTTTACTATAATCCACTAAAATATATATAAAAACAAGTAAAAAATTTTAAATAACCTCCTGGCATTGAAACCTTATTACATCTGTATTTCGTTTCATCTACACATTTTCCTAGGGAACTATTGAGAAAAACAAAAGTAAAAATAGGTAATCAGATAAATGACAAGCAAAAACTTAAACACATTTTTCTTTTTCCCATTAGCTCTTTCTTGTATAAGTTGACAAATGGATAAGGGAGAAAAAGAGACTTTGGAGAAATGTAATGCAAAGACTCAATGTCAGGCTCAGATTGAGAGCAACAATTGGTAGATCCACTTGAAAGTAGATCTTCAGATTTAGGGTTAATTATTAAAAATGAAAGATTATAATAAAAGTTTGTGTATAATTAGTGATCAACTATGCAGTCAAAGACCTTAGATGCCCTATGAGAACTTTGAGTTCTTTTTGCTAACTGAATTTGCTTTATTTTATGACAGTAATATTTGATTGTTTTTCAAGGTTAAACAAAAAAAGTATATATAAATGAAAGTTAATATCCTCAACTCTCTTTATTCCACATTGAGCTAATCAGTGTTAAATATTTGCATCTTTGTTTTCAGATATTTCAGTGTTTATTCAACCATATGCAAACAGGTGTACACTCTGTGTGTATTTAAAAACAAACATGGAATCTACCTGAACAGATTACTCTGAAATTTGGTTTTATCACTAAAAATCTATTATGGCCATCTAGTCCAACAAGTGGGTATAATTTTATTCATTCCCATCAGTATTTGCAGATTACATAATATGCACATGTACAATCAGCTACTACTATCAATATATTCTACTACCAACATACATGCAAGTTATTTTATTTTCAGAAATTGGCTCCTGTGATTATTGAACTCGACAAGTCTGACATCTTGGACAGGGTGACAGGCTGGACACCCAGGGAAGAGCTGATGTTAAAGCTCAAGTCCGAAGTCAGTGTGGAGGCAGAGTTCCTTCTTCCTGGGGATACCTCAGGTTTTTCTCACAAGGCCTTCAACTGACTGAATGAAGCCCACCCACATTATAGGCTTTTCTCAAAGTCTCCTGACTTAAATATTAATACCACCCAAGTATTAATACCATTCATTCATGGCAATATCATGATTGGTGTTTGACCCAAAACTGGATGCTATGGCCTAGCCAAGTTGGCACATAAAATTAACCCTCACACTATATATATTCCTCTGGGATTTGCTTTTTTCATTCAACATTTTGTTTTCCAAATTCTTCCAGAGTGTAGTTTTAATTCATTCAATTTTTGTGCTACGTGGTATGCCATTGCGTGAATGTATTACAATCTATTTATGCACGTATTCCCATTGACAAACATTTGAGTTATTTCCTCTTTTTTTTTTTTTTGGTCACAGTGTTGCACTGAACATTTTTTATTATAACTCATTGTTCAAGTACATGAGTTTCTTTACATTACATACCTAGAAGTAAACTTGCTGGGTTTTAGGATATGCACATATTTAGTTTACACAACAATGCCAATTGTGGTTCAGAGTGATATGCCAGTTCACACTCCAACCACCAGTGAGAGTTTTGCCTGTTGTATCTCCTCTTGGTCTCGTCAAACTTTTAAATGTTTGCCAGTGTTTTAGTAAAAAATGGGACTCCTGGATTCTCTCATGAAGTCTGCCAAATACTAGCTGTGTGGCTACTGTCACAGAACCCTAAGAATCCTGCCAGCCTTCAATTATACTGATTCCAAACTCTCATCTTAAACTACTCAGGTAGATAATGTCAGCAATCAAATCAACTTCACACCAACTTACTGTGTGCCAACACCAAAGACATTTAATTTAACTTGTTTCAGGATGTTTGCTGGGTTAATGAGCTAGAATATAAATCAAGCTGTTGGGTGTCAGTTTCTTTGTAAGGAGCCTATATGGCTGTTTTTACGCAGGACGTTTGAGTAGGAATGGAGTTACAGTTTGCCTGAGGCAATAAATAGAATAGTTGTCACTGAGTTTTTTATGTTAAACAGATGTTATAAAGTCATTTGAAATAGTACCATCCACTACAGGTTTCTTACTATTTAACATATTTTCTGTTGGTGGACTGTGAATTTAAGGGAACCAGGGTCTGTTGAATGAAGCCTGAAAATTTGAGAGCTTTTTTTTATCAAATGTTGATTTAAAGAAGCCTTTTTTGGGAATTTTTAAAAAGCAATTTTCTCAATTTCTTATTTCAAAAGGCATAATTTCACAAGCTATCTTTTAAAATGAAAGCCTGTGCTATTTAAGCACACAAAAATACTTACGGTATTTTTGGACTTCAAGAAGAAGCAGTGATTCCATTTCAACCATGTCTTAACTAGTGTCCAATGGAAGGAATCTAGATGAAAAGGTTTCCATATGAGTGATACCCATAGGGATGACCATCAAGAACTTGGTATAAAAGTTGACTAAAAGAAGCCTGTGTGTGTGTGTGTGCTCAGTTGTATCCGACTCTTAGCAACCCCAGAGACGGCTGCCTGCCAAGCTTCTCTGTCCCTGGGAGCCTGAGTCTCCGGGCAAGAATACTGGAGACAGTTGCCATTTCTTCCTCCAGCGGATCTTCCCAGCTCAGGAATTGAACCTATGTCTCCTGTATCTCTCATGTTAGCAGGCTGATTCTTTACCACTAAGTCACCTGGGAAGCCCAAAAGAAGATAAACTCTGTTTAGAGTTAGACCAGGGTCAGCATACTTCTCTCTAAAGGGCCAGATGATAAATATTTTAGATTTTGTTGGCCATGCAGTCTGTGCATCTGTTTATCTCTGACATAGTAGCTTGAAAATAGCCAAAAACAACACATAAATAAATGAGCATAACTGTGTTCCAGTCAAACTACTCAAAAAAAAATCAATGGTGGACTGGGCTTAGCTTGCAGGTTGTAGTTTCCCAACCCAATTTAGGCCTTGAAGGAAATGATATTATTTTAAGCATAATGCACAAAACATTTGTGCCTATACTCTCTCTTCTTACCTATAAAGACTCTGATGGTCTCTATCATGAGATAACCCTTGCTGTTCCTTCTTATGATTATCTTTTCAGAGGATAATTGCACTGGGTTTTGTTTTTGAGCTATTGGAACTGCATTTAAAAAGGCTAATGCATTCTTTCTAAGGACATAGTGCATTTCATGGGATTGCCTATAAGCAAGTTTTGACTGATTAAATCTGTTTATTTTTTTATTGTAACAGTCCTTCCATGAGGTAGGAAAAAGTGCTGCTCAGCTAGGCTGGTTAAGGCTACAGATTTGGCAGGTGTTTAAGTTTTTAAGTCAATGGCCTGCAGGGAGTGGGTGAGCCTTTCCCCTTGCACCTGTGTCCTGCTGGCAGTAAGCATTCCTCCCACTGCCTATCACATGCCATCTTTAGGAGGCAAAGTGCACACGTTGTGACTTATTGCAAGCAGTTCCTCTCCTGCCTCTTTCGAAATCAACCCAGCACAGTATACTACACAGTCTATGAACCTGAACTGGCAAGTCAGGAAATTTAGAGCTAATAATAATGAGGAGTGATCCCAGACTTTTCATGGGTATTCAACTGGTGAATGAAAGCCAGTGTCTGTATTCTGCTGGACCATGGTGTATATACATGGGATGTGGTCTGGAAGGAGGGTGATGTGCCCTTATATTTCTCAGGAGCTCATTGTCTTCTTTCCATCTTTGTACCACCACTCACCATCTTTCTCTTAGACCCCTAGAAACCTACTAAGTCTTCTCACTTCCCTCTAATGTATTCTCTACACAGCAGCGAGAGTGACCATTTAAAAATGCAGTTCTCATCATGCCACTGCTTGACTTAAATTTCTTTTTTTACTTCTCATTTCCCTTAGGAGAAAGCCACAATTATCATGACTTTCTTGCAAGACTATGCATGCTGTGACCCCAGTTCACCCCGGAACTTCATTCAACTCTACCACATCTGATGCTCCTGTGTTTCTGTCGCACTTGTGTTATTTAGTTCCTTGAGTTAAGTCTTCAAACTGGCTCCCACCTCTGTATATGCTATTGTCCTATTGATCTTCTGTTTATAGTTTTTATTTCTTAAATGGAGAAGAGGGTACAACCCACTATAATCTCTTTTATCCAAGTCACATTGTATAGGATCTCAACTTGTTCTACTAGTTACTGCAAGTCTGATATGTGGCTTATTAAATTTAGTAATTATTATTTTTGGCAGTGGGTCTAGAAATGTAGAGAAGAAATTCAGTGATTTTAATCAACAGGATATATGTACATCATCTTATGAAATATCAATTAAAGAGTACTTGAAGCAAGTGTTGCCAAAGGCAGTGACTTCCAAAATTTGGCAAATCTGGAAATTTCCCTGATAAATTGTGCTGAAAAAAAAAAAAAAACCAAAAACAACTTTCATGTAAAATGTATAGAGATTTGAGACAAATATAGGTATATGTTGGCTATAATTTATCTTGTGCATGGCTTAATTCCCTTATCTGAGAAACAAATAATATTACTTCAGCTCCCCCAATCCCTAAATATAGGGTTCATGCTGCCTTGTAGCAGATTTTTAAGATCACCATAGGCTTTTATGAAAGCACAGAGATTTCAACCAACATGGTTTCCAGGATTTCCATCCACAAAGAAGTACGGCATCCAGGTTTTTATTGTTTAGTCACAAAGTCCTGTCCAACTCTTTTGCTACCCCATGAACTATAGGCTGCTAGACTCCTCTGTCCATGGGATTTCCCAAACAAGAACTAGAGTGGGTTGCCATTTCCTTCTCCAGGGCATCTTCCCTACCTAGGGATTGAAATCGCATCTCTTGCATTGGCAGACAGGTTCTTTACCCCTGAGCCATGGGGTAGGAAAGCCCACGGGATCCAGGTGGGAGATTGTTAAATTCTGATTTAGTCTAACACTGAGGGGAGTCATTTCAAGAAGGCAGTCTCATACCCAGGTGACTGACTCACCAACAGTGGTCCCACTACAGACCTGAAGATAGCTCCGTACCTGAGAATTTGCCTACAGCTCCATCTGGTCTTGGTCCTATTACCAGCGTTGTATGCTTGGGGACCTGGGAGGAGTCAAGCCTACCAATGAATCATGTAACAAGCATACAGACTTAGTCCCAGCTGTGGACCCTAAAGTGGTCTGTGAACCTTCTCCAGCCCTTTTTACCTGCAGTCCAGGTGTCCCTAGAGGTAAGCCCACCAAACTTGGTCAGACTGTAGATTATGAAAGGGCTGTTAATTTGGTTCCAGTCCTACTCACAGTCAGCCAGCAATCTTGCTAGCAGGGAGACCTGGAAGGAGACGCTCCTAAATAAGACCCAGAAAATCCTTAAAGTGTCTTTTAAAGACATTTAACTTCAGTCTCTTGAGTTGCAATCAAGAGCAGTCCAGCCAGCCCAACCCCCTGGAGGAAGACATGCCCATCTCTGCCTCCAGAGCCAAGTCTGCAGACCTCAAGCTTGGCTGTGGAACCTGAAACAGTCCTGAAACAGAACCTTTCAGCCACAGTCCAGGGCCAGTCCTACCCACTCAGGGACCCATCCAGTGATCAGCCAGGAACATTCCCAGGGACCTAGCTAGATCCACACTCATCCGAATACCTGGTAATAAGGTTAGGCCCACCACCTGAGAACTCATCTTTGGACGCTGAAGCAGACCCTTGTTCCAGTGCCACGCTACAGAACAAAGTACTGAAGGCAGTATCCTCTGCACAAGGATGAGACAGAATCCATGCCTGCCTGGATGCCTGATAACAAGCCCACCAACAGCAGAACTCACTGTACACCCAGAGACAGCCTCATAACTGAGTCCAACCCAGTATGACTTCAATTCCAGAGATAATCCCATCAGCCTAGAGAACTGACAGAAGATCTTTACCTTCTAAAAACAGTCTAAGAAGATTGGAAGTTTGCTCCTTCAAGTGTAGACACCAGTGCAAGACTATGTGGATCGCAAAGAATCAGGCAAGTATGATACCATGATACCACCAAAGGAAACTAATAAAATTCCAGTAACTAACTCTAAAGAAATGGAGATCTATGATTTGCATGACAAAGATTTAAAAATAATTATTTTAAAGAAACTAATGAAATGCAAGAGAACACGGATAGACAACAGAATGAAATCAGGAAAGCAACACATGAACAAAATGAGAAGTTTAGTGAAGAAAAATAGAAACCATAAAAAAACCAAACAAACAAACAGAAATCCTGGAGCTGAAGAATACAATGAAAAAATGGAAAAAGTCAAAGACAGATTTAACAACAGACTTGATCATATAGTAGAATCGGCAAACTCAGAGATCATTTAAAATTAGCCAATTAGAGGAACAAAAAGAAAAAAAATGAAAAAGAGAAAGCCAAAAAACCTATGTGAACTTTGGGATGCCATGAAGCCAGTAAAATATATTTAAAAAAATAATAGCTGAAACTTTCCCAAATCTTGGGAGAGATACCAATATCCATATACAGGAAGCTCAAAGGACCCCCGGCAAGATTAACTCAAAGAACATTAGTCTAAGACACACTATAACCAAAGTGTTAAAAGTCAAAAACCAAGAGAATACTGAAAGCAGCAAAAGAATTCCCTCATCACAAAAAAGGGAAAACTGTAAGGCTGTCAGTTGATTTCTCTACAGAAACCTTGCAGGCCAGGAGGGATTGGGATGATATAGTCAAAGTCCAATAAATTGGATAGCCTAGAAGAAATGAATAAATTGCTAGAAATATATCACTTATCAAGACTGAATTATGAAGAAATAGGAAATCTAGACAGACCAATAACAATTAAAGAGACCAAAAATCTCCCAAAGAAGAAATGCCCAGGACCAAATGATTTCACTGGTGGAATATACCTGATATTTAAAAAATTAATGTTAATTCTTCTAAAAATCTTCCAAGAAATTGAATAAAGAAGAACACTTCCAAACTCATTTTATGAGGCTGGAACTACTCTGATATCAAAGTCAGATAAAGATACTACATGAAAACTACAGACCAATATCCCTAGTGAATATAGATGCAAAAATTATTGGCAAAATACTATCAAATTGAATTCAACAGCATATTAAAAGAATCATGCACCATAATCAAGTGGGATTTATTCCTAAGATGTAAAGTTGGCTCAACACACATAAATCAGTAAACATGATGTATGTGTGCTTAGCTGCTGACTAAGTGTCTGACTCTTTGCAACCCCATGGACTGTGGCCCACCAGGCTCCTCTGTCCTTGGGGGTTCTCCAGGCAAGAATATTGGAGTTGGTTGTCATGCCCTTCTCCAGGGGATCTTCCCAACCCAGGGTTGTAACACAGGCCTCCCACATTGCAGGTGGATTCTTTACAGTCTGAGCCACACACGCAGGGAAGTCTAAGAATACTGAAGTGGGTAGCCTATCCCTTCTCCAGGGGATCTTCCTGACCCAGGAATCGAACCAGGGTCTCCTGCGTTGCAGGTGGAGTCTTTACCAGCTGATCTACCAGGGAAGCCCAATAAGCATGATATACCACATTGAAAGAATGAAGGATAGAAACTTTATGATCCTTTTGACAGATTCAGACAGAGAAAGACAAATACTGTATGCTCTCTCTTATATGTGGAATCTTAAAAAAGCTGAATTTCATAGAAACAAAGAATTGAATGATGGTTGTCAGGGCGTGTTGAGAGGTGAGGAAATGGGAAGATGTTGGTCGAAGGGTACAAATTTCCAGTTATAAAATAAGTAAGTTCTGGGGATGTAACATATAGCATGGTCAGTAAGTATATGTAAAAGCCCCCAACTTCATTAGTCATCAAGGGCACACATACTTAAACCTCTGTGGTTTGGTAATCGCATACCCATAAGAATGTCTAAAAATTAAACAGACTGACCTTATCGAGTGTTGGTGAAGAGGTGGAGCAATTAGAACTCTCATATATTGCTGATAGGAATGTAATTTATTACACCTACTTGGGAAGACTATTTGTCACCATTTACTAAATAGTAAATATGCTCATACCCCATGATTCAGCATTTTTCCTTTTGGAATGTCTTCTATAGAATGTTTGTATAGGTGTATCAGAAACATATACAAGAATATCCATTGCAAAGTTATTTGAATTATCTCCAAACTATCTGAATGCCCTTTAATAGTAGAATGATTAATATCTTTGGGCCATTTATAAATTGCTTTTATAAGTAATGTATAATGTTACTTTTCAGCAATGAAAATAAACTACAAACATATATAAAATGGATGATTTCCATACTTTATTGTTGAGAATAGAAGCCAGGCACACAATCACATGTATAGTATAATTCAGCATATGTAAAGTTCACAGAGTGGCAAAATTAATCACTGGTACTAAAAATAAACTACTGTTACCTTTGAAGAAGGAGGAAAAATAACTGACTCAGAAGGGGCTTACAGGAGGCTTCTGGTCGGGGGGGGGTGATAATATTTTATTTCTCATGGATCCATTTTGTATTTTCACTTTGAGAATTCTTCAAGTTGCTTACTTATACTATGTCCTCTTAAAAATACAGGTAAATTTAACTTTAAAATAAAAAGGAAGAGCTGTTTCTGAATCCTACATTTTTGTGTTTTCTATAATGCGTGTCTAATTTTATACTAAGTAGATGGAAGTAATTGATTGACCTTGGATGTTCAGTAAAGTGATGACACATTCCCTGACATTTGTGTTTGAAGGTTAAATTTGAATTTAGATCTGCATCATAAGCTCGAAACACTGAGTGCGTGCAGGTTTTCAGTGTTTTTCTATTATTTATGCCATTTCACTCCTTTTCTATTTCTTTTAATCAATAATTTTATGAAATGATTGACGCAAGGACCTAGAAAATCTTCGTGTAAACTGAATTGATGATTCTTTCCTTGCTGTAATAGAGGACATCATTCTTCTTTTATAATGCTAAATGCCATTCAAAGACAGGAATATTTATACTTTTGAGCACAGCAGTCGGTGCTGTTATAGGTTCAGATTATTCCTCTCATCTCTTAAAGGTTATGGTCTGGACATGGGGATCTTTTTCAAGGCATACATCTTAGTTGACTGTCTGAAGCAACTGCTGAATCAAATAATCATTTTCCAGCAAATGCTTTGAAGCCTTTAAAAAAAAAGCATTCCTATTACTGTTAAGACAGCTATAATTTTAATTATAAATCTAGACCTGAACCTTAATAAAAAGCCACTTCTATTCATCTGAATTTTCCAGGATTAAATTACCCTTTATAGTAATATGTTCCTGGTGGAGTATGTTATCTGGATTGGATTGAACTAAATTTTTCTGTTACAATGCATCTTTGTCAACTTATATCTAATATAAGCATCATGTACACTGTGAACAACTAATAAAATATTCACTGACTGACTGCTGACATCATAGAACTGTGTTTTTGGCATTATTTCATTATTTCCATTAGCCTTCAAATTTTTCAAGCAATAAATATAATTTCTTCATATATGATAATTTGGAATATTTGGACTTATAAACAGCAGTGCGATAGCATGTAGGTAAAAGAGGCAATGTTGTTGTTTGGTCACTAAGTCTTGTCTGCCTCTTTGTGACTCTATGGACTGTAGGCCACCAGGCTTCTCTGTCCGTGGGATTTCCCAGGCAAGAATACTGGAGTGGCTTGCCATTTCTTTCTCCAGGGAATCTCCTGAACCAGT